GCGTAATCCTGGAAAGTATCTCAAGTTTGGAACCCTCATCTGTGGCAATTGATCCCAGGTATTTGAAACTTTTTACTGTTTGAGGTCTTTGTCCACATAAATTGATCTCAATGCTCATGTCATTGGTGGTGTTGGTTATGAGTTTAGAATTCTCAGCACTGATCTCCATGCTGTAAGCTGTAGATATATTGTTGAGGCATTCCACGAAGCTGACTAGTTCTTGCTCCTCGTCTGCTAAGCTATCAGTGTCTTCTGCGTGATCTTCCAAGGCATCAGTAATAATCCTTTCTAGAAACATATTAAAGAGGGTGGGTGAGAGTAGGCATCTTTGTCAAACTCCAACCATTGTTTGGAACCAGTCCCTTAAGCTGCCATTTATGCTTGTCATAAACCTTTTCAGTGAATTGAATAAGATTGGCATTGATGTTGTACTTCCTCATGATTACCTATAAGGCTGCATGTCATATCCTGTCAAAGGCCATCTTGAAGTCTTTTATGACACGATAAAGGTCTTGTTTATGTGGGAAATGTTTCTCATAAAGGATCCTGAGATTTAATATCTGTTCTATGGTGCTTTGTCCAGCTCAAAACCTTGCCTGTTCTTCAGCAATGATATTTTCGACTTGGGGCTTGAGTCTGTTTAATTTAATCTTTAAAATGACTTTACCCAGGCGATTGATGAGGCTGATTGTTTGGTAGTTTTGGCACAGCTGTAGGTTGCTTTTCTTGGGAAGCATGATAACCATAGACTAGGTCCAAGGAGTGGGCTATTCTGTCAGATCTTATTGCAGATTGTTGTGAGGGTGGTAATCAAGGCTTCTCTGCTGGCCTGATCCAGTTCTGCTGATATGTTGTCAACTTCAACTGACTTCCCTTTATTTAGTGATCTCATTGCATTTTCTACTTCTTCCCGAAGTATAGAATAGTTGTCCTCTTCAGTTGTCTGAGGACAGTGTAGTACTGTTGGGTCTCAGTTAGTCTTGTGGTTGTATAGTTCTGGGCAGTATTCTGTCCACCGGTGGAGGATTTCTTGTTTTTCTATGAGGCATTTTCATGATTTGTGTTGGATGGTAGTGGCTTGCCCTTGTTTTACAGTTGTTAGGTCTTTTACAAGTTTGGTATGATTTTTTACTGTTGTTGATCTTTAAGTTTTCTTCAAATTCATTGCACTGTTCTTCTAAGCAGTTCTTCTTTAATTTTGCTGTTGACTTCTCTGTATTTTTGCACTCCTTTAGTATTGCTTTTCTCTTTTTCAGTTCTCTTCTTTTGTCACATAGGTCCAGAATATCTGGTGTTATCCAGGGTTTCTTAGTCTGACGGTGCTTGCCAAGGATCTTGTTGGCGGCGTCAGTCACTGTTGTGTTGAAGGTGGTGATTATTGAATCTGGGTCTGTGTTTTCATCACCCAGGATGGTAAGAGTTGCAAAATTCTCACCAATCATTGCTTGAAAGGCTTCTGCCACATCAGCGTCCTTCAGTTTCTCAAGGTCAAACTTGATTCTAGTGTGCTTTGGTTTGCTGATTTTCTTCAGATAGAGATGAAAAGTCATCATCAACAAGTCATGATCATTTCCTGGAAAACTTCGTTTTTTGGCAATGTTGACTCCTGTTTTGATGTTGAACATCTGGACTGTGCCATGTCCATCTTCTGGATGATTTGTGAGGATCAGAAATATTAGCCAACACAAGGTTGTTATGTGTGGCGAATTCCAGGAGCTTGAGTCATCTTTCGTTTGATTCAGTATTGCAGAACCATCAGCAGATGCCTTGCCAGTTTGTCTGTGCATCCTCACCAACTTTTTTATTCCAATCTCCTTGTATGATGTGAATGTCCTTTTTGGGTGATGGGTCCTGCAGCTGGTTGTAAAAGTCTTCCATCTCATTATCGTCTTAGTTAAATGTTGGGGTGTATACTTGTATTACTGTGATGTTGAATGGAGTTTCCCTCAGGCGGATGGTGATGAGCCTGCTGGAGACTGGGTGTCAACCCATAGCAGTCTTCTCGATGATTTTATGTACAAAGAATTCCAATGCCATGTTCATATTTGGCCTCTTTGCCAGTGACGTAAACCTTGTGTCTTTCCTCGCTTGATGTTTCTCCAAAGTGTTTTCAACGCTTCTCACAGAGTCCATGGAGGTTCCAGTGCTACTTGTACATCTCCTTACATTCCATGTATCGATGGAGATGTTGTTTCTTCCACGGAACATGGTGGTAGAAGCACCAGCAGCATACTTATCACCTCTATCTTGGTGTGAGGCAGAAGGTGCAGTCATTGTCATTGGTAACCCAGGCTGCGACCGATCCAGTATGGGTGGAGTATTGGTTGTCATCATATGCTGTGTTTTAAGCAGTTGCAACCTGGTGGCACCCATCTCCTCTCCAGGCTGGTTGACCGCAGCTGAAATCCACCATACAGTGTGCCATGCCCTGGTCGTGAACATGTGTCCGTTGATTTCATCCAGGAGCCCTTCCACCCTGGCCATTGACTTTATTGAAGAAGACGTTTGCTCAGTGATGTCATGTTACCATCACACCATTTCTCCCATGGTTGGGAAACTTGTGGAGGGTGGGAGCATCTCATTCCATCCTATACAGGTCCACTGGATCTGTCTATTGCCCACATATGCATAGGATTATTTTTTCCAAAATTTCATTCACTCTCTTTATTTCCTGTTTTTCTTATCTCATATTTGCTCCACTTTCAAATCTGTTTATAGTTTTTAATATCACATTTTCCACTTATAAATCATTTCTACCATCTCTTCTTTTGTTTCTTTTCCTCTATTATAATTCTCTCTTTCTTGCATTGTCACTACCATCAGGTGATGGTCAGATTACACACTCTCTTGTACTTTATAAAATATCACTTTGTTTATTTCTGGATTGTCAATTGCATAATCAGCACTAAATTTCCTCTTCCTCCTAAATACATGTGTTCGTCATTTTCATATCCAGTTATACTACCATTAAGGATATTTAACCCACTTTCTTCTAACCCTTTTAATAGTTCTCACCCTTCTGTGTTACACACTGCTTTCAGTTCCTTTCTTAATTCTACACTTCCTAATTTCTTCCATTTCCATTAAATGTGCAATAATTTGTTTCAGCTCTTCTATTCCATTATCTTTCCCTCCTTATTTTTTCTTTTCACACTTTTGTTTCCTCATGTTGGCCAACTATTTTTTTTTATCTTACATTTCTCATTCCTGACCTCACCTACTTTACTCTTAGATCATACTCATTCTCCATATTTTGTTTTTTAAATAATAATCGAAATTTCTCATTTTAACTTGTTTCGTCTTCTGTTATTTTGTCATTAACTTCTATTCCTTGGAATCAACTTTTTAATTTACAATCACTATTATTAGAATTTTTTTATCTTTCCATTCAGAACTGAAGTTGAAAATGACATTACATTTGGTAAACACTGACATTAAATCTTTTGACACAGGGTTGGTCGATTTGACCGAGTCACATGACCTTCTGTACTCGTTTAAAGTTGACATCAACTTAATACTTATAACTCTCTATATATTGGGTATATCTTCACAAAATTTGACAGTCTTTCAGTTAATATTACAAGTCTTTCACCTACAAAAAGTCATATTTCTTAGTGAAGTACTTTTACTAAAATAAAATAAAGATTTGTCCTTGAATATATTGAGTATTTGTTTGAATAGTCTGTGTGCAAAGTAATTTGTATGTTAAAATTAAAAATACTTTTCGCC